CTCTCTCTCTCTCTCTCTCTCTCTCCCTCCCTCCTTCCTTCCCTCCCTCTCTCTCTCCCTCTCTGTCTGTCACCCACCTTGCCAAGACTGTCAATGTCCTTAGACGGGGGCTGGTCAATCTTGAAGATATTCAGACCTCGTCGTATGGTCTTCTCCTGCTCCTTCAGCGCGTCCATCTGTGCGTACATGTTCTGTATGTTAGCCAGCGCCTCGTCTGTGCTGATGGCCGAGGTGAAGGGACCATTGGCCTCAAAGTCTCGGAGAAGCTCTGCAGCCTGCTTCTTAAACTCTTCCGCCTGTTGCAGAAGGCCGGTCTTGAAGCGCTCCTGAAAAAAACAGACACCAACACAATAATCATAGGCTGCAGGAAATGCCGGCGGATTGGGGTTGTTTCTTTGTCTGAATAAAGAGAAGCACATCAAAGCAACAGCAACTACCTAGGGTAAGTAAGAGAAGAAAAAAACAAGGTTAAAAACAACAACTGGAAGAAAAAAAGAAGAGAACGAAAACAAAAGAACAACAGCAAGTTTCAAAACTGGGGGAGGGGAGGAAAGCTAGCAAGATTGCCATGCGCGCTCGGCCTTCATAAAAAAAAAACAGACTTATTTGTCATAGAATTTATTTAGCTTTAAATTGGTATGCTGCATGGATGGGTAGTGCAAGGCTTTAACACGATTATTGGGTGATTACATTTTCAAGTTTCATTTGGATGCCACTTTATAATGGTGACAAAATCAAAATTATTTGCTCCTACTTTTTAGTTTTAGTAAGAGTTTTACAGCACTTGCAACACAATAAGGTCATATAAGTGCCGAAGATTAGAGGTGTTACAAGAGAGTAACAAACATAAAAAAGAAGAAGGGGGGATAAGGACGATAAAGGTTTGTTCTAGAGAGGTTGGATAACCAAAGCAGGACGAAAGAAGACAAAACAAAACAAAAACTGGAAACACAAAAGAAGTGCTATCAATTCCTGTGTTTCTTTCTTTATTTGTTCATTCAGTTTTTTCACTTCTTATTTACATACTAATTGATAAATGAATTTTCTTATTATTCGTAATTTATTTGCGTAAATATTCATTAATTTTACCATTCACTTATCTATACCTTCATCTACCTACTTCCTTTTACTTTTATTCAATTATTTGTGCATTCATTACCATTCATTAATTATTTTGTTCCATACAGGTGTGTAGACTTATTTCTATCATAATTATCTTAACTACAACCATAGAAATCTCACGGACAGCGTTCTCTTACCTTGTGTTTCTTGAGCATTCCCTCCGACTCCACCAACGTCTGCTGGAAGGTCTCCCACTCAGAGGGAAGCTCGTTCAGCATCTTGGTCACCTGGACACAGGAGAAACAAGAACAAATATTTTAATTTATCAGAAATCTGATTTTGTTGTTGTTTTGGAACAATTTAAACACTGTAGCATTTTAAAAAAGTACCGAACATGACTTCATATTCATGTATTGGAATGATTTATTAAAATACCACAAAACATAAAGAAATAATAAACAAGATTTCATATTGAGGTTTTGGAAAGGTTAAAATACCTTAACAATTAAAATGACTTTGTATTCCTGTTCTGAAATGACTTATAATATACTCAATAACATAAAAAATAATTTAAATGACTCCACAATCATATTTCAGAATAATCTGAAATACTATCAAGGCAAAGCTAAAGAACAAGACTTTGCTTTCACATCTTCTGATGATTTAAAATACCATCATTTTTGAGAGTCGTTCCACGTTCATTTGTATGTCATTCCACGTTCAGTTGTATGTCATTCTACTTTCATTTGTATGTCATTCCACATTCATTTGTATGTCATTCTACTTTCATGTCTTCATGTCTTGAGTTTGTCCATAAAGTCACCGTGATGTGCATTTATAATGAAGGAAGGAAGGCGAGAAGGTGATAAAAGCGAAAGAGGGAGATTTTTTTTGTGTGTGAGCGAAGAGAAGCACATTGACACAGCAACGGTCTTTTAGTCCATGGAAAGAACAAAACAGACAGACAGACAGACAGACAGACAGACAGACAGACAGACAGACAGACAGACAGAACAGAAGGAAGAAAAAGCTGAACTACTATTGGTGGTGTCCTCCATCCATCCATAACCTGAGTCTTTGTCCAAATTACTACGGGTAACTTTTACCATTGACTAAAACAAAACAAAACCTCATCTACAAATATTGATCAGAGCTTTTTTTTGTTTTTTTAAAGAACCTTAACCAAAGGTAGCGTCAATATCTGCAAACTGAACATGGCACTTGAAGCCTATATCTGCAAAATTTACCATAAAAGCATCAACTACAATGTTATCAATTATTGCTCGACAACAGCAATAATAATAATTTTATCTGCGCTTCCATTTATGCTCTTCAAGATCTTGCCTGACCATTACAAGAATGGTAACATTATGACAAATAAACAACAGTCGGTGACTACACAAAATGAAATATATATGACAAATAAACAATGGTGGATGACTACACAAAATGAAATATATATGACAAATAAACAACGGCGGGTGACAACACAAAATGAAATATATATAACAAAAAAAACAACGGTGGATGACAACACAAAGTAGAATAATATGTCCTCAGGGGGTGTGGCTGCAGATAAACACACAGTACAACATGCAGATGTTATATCTATCAGTAGACAAACAGTGGCACACCAATCAATCAAGATACGACAACTAGAGACAAAAAGAACTTGGTTCATTCGGCACAGCACAGTATGATGGTCTGTAGTAATTGAATTTGAGCCATCCCGAAAAATGCTGTTTTGAGAAAATCGAAGGTAAAGTTTTTGCCTCTTGTTCAATTTTTATAAAAGCCAAGGAGAGTTTCCTCTCTAACCAAACAAATATACACACCCATGAAACCAAACTTCCCCTTTAGGTAGGGCAATATCCACTTTTGGTGCAGGTCAAGATTTCTGGAAACCCCAAAATCTGGGTTAGCCCACATGTCCTTAAATGGGACCAATTGTGTGTGTGTGTGTGTGTGTGTGTGTGTGTGTGTGTGTGTGTGTGTGTGTGTGTGTGTGTGTGTGTGTGTGTGTGTGTGTGTGTGTGTGTGTGTGTGTGTGTGTGTGTGTGTGTGTGTGTGTGTGTGTGTGTGTGTGTGTGTGTGTGTGTGTAAGGGGGGGCGGTTTGTGTGTGTGGTCAACAGATTTGGGGGTAACGGAGTCAGTTCCAATTTTTTTGTTGCGCCTGTCTTGTGCGACCTCGAGAAATGAATTTTATTCTCGACATGGTCACCTTGTCCTCTCAATGTAAAACTGTTATTTTGTTGTTGTATTTGCTGTACGGTAGTTGTTCTCGTTGTTGTTGCTGAGAGAGAGAAAGAGAAAGACAGAAACCAAGAGAAAAGAAGAGACAGAGACAGACAGAGACAGAGAAAAAACAAAGACCAAAAAATGGAAAAAAGACAGCCCATAACACGACCATGAGCATAACACAGACACCACAAGTTGTATTAGTAAAGACCACACAAATAAGGCATTGTAACATTTCAAAGTGCTGACCACAACTCAAACGCATGCAACACAAACAAAACTTAGTCGGCCATTTAAAACGCTGAAGTCGACATGCTAGGAAAAAAAACAACTATTACGTCTAGTATTGATGTTTCAATTTCTAAAGATCGCATAATATCGTTTTTCAAAGCCTCAGGCCTTGAAAAGCATACCAATTTTTTAGGATAAATAATATCGTTTCTTCATAACCTCAGAATTTCTTTTAAAAATATCACTTTAGACCTTATGAATAACATCATTTTTTTAACACCAGAGACGTTGCCAAAAAAAAAAAAAAAAACAATTTTATCTTCTCAGATTTTGACAAAATCCAGACAATAAATCAATATGAATGCTGCAAATATTTAAACCATCAATGTATGATTCTTTTTACCAAATTTATCAGATACCAAAAAAAAACCCAACAACAACTTCCACTGTATTTGTTGAGTAGGTTTTTTTAAAGAATGTTTATAGAGTTAGTGGGTGTTGTTCCCCTACCACTATAACATAAAAATGAATCTTGTGAAAGCTTTCTATCAGTACTGGAACCCCCACCCCCCTCCCTCTCCCTCCTTCTTTACCATCTGCCCTCCTCCATCCTGACAAAAAACAGTACTGAAATACAGATAAATCAATATGGAGAGTGCTTTTATCCCAATTGACCCATCGTGGTGAAATTAGGCGCTCGTCAAAATAATGAAACAAAAAAAACCTGCCTTTTTCTTTCCAACTGGCAATTTTTTTCGGATATTTATTTTTGGGCTCAACATCTTTTGTGCCCATTAAAAAACAAATTTATGTGGCGATTTTACTGAAAAACGTTGATTAAAGGAACAAAGAATGTAAATTTACAGTTTCTAAGGACTCTCCAGCTTTGGTAGTCACCAAACTTCGGCGGCCACTTTCTCACTAATTTTACCTCTGAAACCAGGAAACCTTCACCTACTTCAGTCAGAATATTTCCACTCCCATTCAAGAAAGATTGGGGGGGGGGGGGGGGGGGGTTCAGCAAAAGCAAGACTTTAAAGCAAGAACAAGCATTAAGAATATACAAATAACTCTTTAGACCTATGCCCCAAAAATGATGATGAGCGCCTGATTCCACCACTGCGTACACGTGACACAATATTTTTAGATGAAGTAAAGAGAAGCACAATTACACAAGTCATTCTGTGCTAAGAAGAAGCGCGCAAGACAGGCAGACAGAAGTTACAACAGAGGGAGAGGAAAGAAGAAGGACTTGTTAGTGGCACCCTCCAACCACCCACTTTTCGACATTTAAGTTTTAAGTTTAGTTTTAGTAGAGGTTTTACGGCACTCGCAACTGCATAAGGTCAAATGAGCGCCAGAAGATTAGAGGTGTTACAAGAGAGTAACAAACATAAAAAAGAACAAGGGGAGATAAGGGCGATAGATGTTTGATAGGAAAGAAGGAGCAAACCACACCAGAGCACCCGCCAACCACCCACCATTTAAGTTTAAGTACATGTAGACAGATGAGCCAGCCAAAAAAAAACCCCCAAAAAACTAAGAGCTGATGAGTGCCATTCATACTTCAGTATAACTTAAAAAAGCCGATCGATTCACAGTAACACACAGATTTAAACTATAGAATAAAAACATTACTTAAGCCTAAACTGTCAATGACTAATATCAAACCTTTTTAGGCTGAAATTATGTTTTTTCTACATTCACACATGGACATGAAACGACAGCTAGCTAAAAAGAGGGGTAAAAACACAGGTTAAAAATAGCTAGAAAGAGAGTTAAAGAGATATGTGAGGCATAGTGGTGAATTCAGGCACTGGTAGAGTAATGAAATCGAAGAAACTGGCATTTTTCTGCTGGTTTGGCAATTTTATCAGATTGTTGGGTTGTTGTTTTTTGTCTCAACACTGTTTAGGTCAATTTAAAAAACACATTTCAGAGAGGAATTTACTTAAAAACGTTGATTAAAGGCACCAAAATTTTTTTTAAAATTCTAATTCCAAGGCCTCAGAAGCTATGGAAGTCACCAAACTTTGACAACCATTTTCTTAAGGGTATTTTTTTTTCATTGCAAGCAAGGCAAATCAGCAAGTTTAGGATGATAAAAATTACTCTATAAGTTAAAAAAATTAATTAGTGCCTGATTCCACATAGGTTAAAGGTGAGCATGCATTTGTCCTTTGGCATAATCTCAACAACCTCTGCAGGAGTTCACACTCAGGAGACATGGCAAGGAGACATGGCAAGGAGACATGGCAAGAAGACATGGCAAGGAGACATGGCAAGGAGACATGGCAAGGAGACATGGCAAGGAGAGAAGGCGTAAGGGGTGGTGAAGAGAACAACATGGACTGCAGAGAGGCATTAACCTAAGGTTACACACACAAAACACAGTGACACACATATACACACACACACACGCACGCACACACACACGCACACACACACACATACACACACATACACACACATACATATGCACACAAACACATACACACACACACACACACACACACACACACACACACACAAGGAAGACGGACATGAGGAGGTGGGTACAACATCTATTGTGGAGAAACAATGGGG